TTGCTTCCTCCTAAGAAATACCAAGAACTGAAAAGGAATGTACTTGGCCTCAAAAGGCATCAGGAAATCCAAGAGAGATGCAGGCAGACCTCTCTCCCTTATTTTTCATATTTGATTCCAAAGTCCCAAATGGCTCCCATACTTTTTGCCTGCCCCTTCCGTAACTCCGAGCTTATCTCCCCGGGGATTCAGTGGCAAAACTCGAACTGGGACATGTTTTTTTTTCCTTCATCTGACATGCTTTTCCTTCTAAATATCCATTCATGTCTCTACCACCCTTTCCCGGAACTATCCCCCACAAGTCAGTTCTCATTGGCCCTCTTCTCCAGTATTCAACAACTTATTAGTACAATTTAGTTTTGTTTTGTTTTATACATATTTCATGTGCGTGATTTCTGTTTCTTGAGCTGCACCTTGAGAACGAGGAGGAAGATGAGGACGTCTTCATTTCTGAATGAAGCACAGCCTACTTATATAGTAGGTGATCGGGAAATATTTTCAGTTGGATTATAAGAGAATGAGGATGTTCTGAGTGAGTTTAGACAGTTCTTTGAACCCTTGAGATTTTTTCTCTGAAAGTCTCCCCATCCCCTCTTTTTCTTCAGTTACTTTTTATTCACCACCTCCTCTGTGCCAGGCAGCACACTAAGTGCTTCACATACTTGGTGTTTTTCATTCCTTACAACTCCCCAGGAGGGAATTATTAACCCTTTTTTTTACAGATGAGAAAACAAAGGTTCATGATCATTAAGCAGACTGGCAAAATTAAACACGGATTTGTTAAGCTGCAGAGCTGGGATTCAAACCCAAGTCAATCTGACTTCAGAACCTTTAATCAATGTTCTGTATTACACCTCTCTTTGTTATTGTCTCTTTTTCTCTTCAGTTCTTCCCTCTTCATTTCTTTTCCTCTTTCTCCATTCAGAGATGAAAGTGGATTTATGTGAGGTCAGTGTTGAGAGTAGAAGATGTTATTTTCAAAATATTTTAGTTCCTTTTATTTCTTTTCCTCCAAAATATTTCTCAGGGATTCCTAGGATTGGTGACCAAATGCTGCTCTCCAGGTGGGCCCTGGGGCAGCTTGCCGACATCGAGATCCAGGCACACTGTTGAGTCACCTTTGCTCTCAGTGGCTCTGTCTTAGGGTTTTGCTCCAGACTTAAGACTAATATAGAATAACTTACTGTAGAAAGGTCAGGCCTTCAAAGGTGAATGAAGGATCAAGTTGGCAAGATAGAGCCCTTGGGTCATTTCTAGACACAGTCTTTGTCACTACTTCTATTCCTTTTCGCCTGGGAATTAAAGTGAAGTAAATAATTAAAAACGTTTATTTGCTATCTTTTTCATTCCAGAAAAGCCAGATACCATCAGTAGCCTAAATGCCTTTGTAGTTGCCATGCAGATATTGTGGTGAGTCAAATACAAAGTACGAGTTAATTTAAAAATGGTTAGATTTCAAGTAACAGATTTTTTCTATATCCTGAAAATTTTGTCATATATGTGGAAGTAAGTCAGTAACTATTTGGTATTGATTGACATATGAGCAAAACCAAGGCAGGTGTGATCTTGTCAGGAAACACAAACTTTAGGAACTACTTTAGTGGTTTAGGGGATGGAATGATAAAAATTCTCTTCTCTTTTGGATTTGAGATTTGGTTAATAATTGATCTTTGTTCCTGATGTCATGACTTTTTGGTCCATTAGATTTGTTTTTCCTTTGACTTGAGGCCCAGGACTAGGTTCTTTGATACTTCCTTTTAATCTGACTGCTTTATACCTGAGTTCTTGTATTTGACTTTTTTTTTTTTTACATTGAGATGCTTTTTAAATTTTTGTTTTTTAAATCAGGGAAGACAGTAACTTTTCCTTTAAGTTTCATTATGTTGAATTTTTGGTGTAAACTTGGATCTGTGAAATTCATTTCGACTTCATTTATACATGAGCAGAGCCAGAAAGTTAATGAAGCTGATTCAGGGAAAGAATTTGTGAGCCATATTTGCTTGGCATTGTGCTAATTAAAACAACTGGTTGGTTGACTAAACATTTCACCTTTAGAGGACAGATTGATGGCGTTAATTTGATATTGCCGCTTTTTTAATAGAAAATGTTCAATATTTATGATTTTATTGATCCCTCTTTTTCAAACTTTGAGCTTTTGATTAGCTAATGACGATTTTAGCCTGAGATGAATTCTCTTCTGAGCTACAAACCTCCTGCAGATACTACATAGAAACAGGGACTGCTCAGAATTCCCCTGTTGGTCACTGCTATTTTCCTGGGATGGCTTCTTGGTACCAGCCTGAATGTACTGTCTTCATGTTCCATGAAAATCGCATTCTTGCTGCTGGCTTTTGTACTTTATTGCTGAATCTACGTGGTCGAGTTTGCCTTTGGAGGATCTTTGAATCATTTTCTGAGATGTAGAGTTGCACTCGCCCTTGGACCTAGTCCAGGGAAAAATCTTTTTTGGAAATGAAATTCTCATTTGATGCTTTGACCTGGTCCAGGAAGCTTGTTTTACAGTTTTGCTTGAAGTTGGCCAATATTACTTTTCGAGAACACTGACACATTTAAAGATCATTTCATCACATATTACTGGCACCAGTTCATGGGAAGCTGCTAGCAAGACTCAATCTTGTTTTTGTCTGAATGAGGTGAAGCCAGAGCATTTTAATAGCAATGAAGTCTATGCTTATTCCAGAAATGGTATGCTAGTTGAATTTGGAACTTTGGACATTCCCGGTAACCTGATATTTTGTCTTTGATCTCTTGGCCATACCTATTCACCATGGTTAATTTAGTTGTAGACATTAAGACAATCAAAAACACTAACCCAGATGATTGTAGGTCCTTAGGGCTCATTGGTTGAAAAGACAATATCTATTGCACTTTGTTTCCATGTTTCATCTACTGGAACACTGACCAAGGAATGAAGTCTTGGCAGTTAGAAGGTAATCATGGTCTGGAATTGGATCCAGGTGTACCTCTTCCAAGGCTCTTCCCATTCTGACCTAAGCCTGAGACCTGGAGGACCTGGGAAGTTGGGAAGAGAGGTGGAAGGTGTTCTAGAGATGTAGGGGTAGACTTAAAGGATTTTGTGACCACCTGGAAGTGGGTAGTATAGACCAGGGAAGCATCTCACACACCTCTCAGGTCCCTAGCTTGAATGTTGTCAACCTTCTCTCCATCATCATTTCTTGCTGAGAGGAGAAATGCTGACATGATGAATGGCAGCAGGTCTGTGGGGCAGTGATGATGAGTGCTGGCCAGGGAGGGCTTCTGGAGGGAACTGGAGGGTGTGGTCACTTGGAAGCAGTAGTAGGAGCCATGCGATATTGATGGATCTCCCTGCCCCTTGGTATATAAGGTGTGAGAAAATGACTCTTGGGGGTCACTGGAGAAGTAAGGTGTGTCCTAAGGGGAGAGATGCTTTGGGTTTCTACCAAGGTTGAGGTCAGGGGAGGGCTTGGAGACATAGAGACTATTGTACCTGGTACCGTGTACCATGGAATATGCATCACATTCTTTTTCCCTGCAAAGGTATGGATTATACTTTCAGTTTTTAAGACTGCCCCACTATCTTTCTCATTTCTTCAATGGACACTCTGTTCAAACCCCGCCTTGACTCTCTTTCCTACCCTCAGTGTGTACCTGTGGCAGGTGGATTTTAGCCTTGCCTTTATGGGCAGGGCATTCTCAAGGGAAAAAGGAATTGGACCTATGCTTCCATTCCATAATGCTCATGTCAGATCTAGTTTGGCAAGGGCTCAACATGGCCTTTTCCTTCACGCCGCCTGTCTGGAGCTTGATGAGCAGGGAGACTCAATCCTCCAGTTAAGTCTTTCAATTAAACCTTGTCCTCTTGTCCACTAGAGAAAGCTCTAATCCAGCCTCTTGGATTTGTTTTTATCTATAGTGTTTTTGATTACGAGTGCCGGAGGCAGCCTCTTGTTTTCTCTCCGTCTCTCTGTCTTTCTGTCTCTTGGTCTCTCTGTCTCTCTCTCTCTCAAACACACACACACACCCATGGTAATTGTACCACTCATTCTTTTTACTTGAATATAAGCTTGATTTAGAGCCAAGTGTACAGTATAAAATTTGTCCAACACTAAAGGCCACTGTGTATATCGTATAATCTCCATCAAATCAGCACTTCATGGAAAGTACGTGGAGAAATACCTTACAAATCAGAAAAGAGCTATTACATAGAAAAGCTGAAAATGCCTCATATATCACAGCAAAACCGCAGGACTATAAAATCAGAAACGGGTAGTGACATTATAGCCTAAAGCAATCCTGAAGCCATATTTTGTATTCCTCTTTTAACAGTAAGAGTATCACTACTATCAAGTTGAAAGTTTGGATTTTGTTCATTTGAGATATTACATTATTTTACTAAGAACTTCTGCCAGGCCTTTGCCTTCAGATTTGCCACCATGAAAGAGAATTCCACATTTTCTGGCCTTAGAGCTTGCACAGTGCAACACGAAAGAAAAGGGGTGCTATGTTTGTGGACTATAAAAGATTTCATTTGATTGGATAGTAGAATTTGTTTTCTATAGGGAAAAGTTTTGGCTTAAATTTTCTTATTTCCAGCCCTTTGTTATTACTTTTACCTATCAGTTATCTTCCTTATTCCTCAATCTTTCTGCTTCAAATACTTGTCTACCTCTTGAAGTGTCCAGCTTACGCTGCAGTACGACCTTGTATACACATTCACAGAGCAGGTGCTCCATCCTCACCTCCACACCAGCTCGTCTGCCAGGGCGGGAGTTGGGGGGCCACCCTCGTGGACTCTTTGCCACCCTCAAGAGAACCACCTCTGGTTCAAAGTAAATCTCTAACCTGAGCCTCTTCTTACTGATTTTTTCTTGCTCTCGTAATTGTTCCATTTCTCTCTTATAGTTCCAGTCTGCTTACCCTCCTTCCCCAACCTTGGCTTTTTTCCCTATATTCTTTGATTCTCCTTCAATCTCTTCTACCTTAAAACAAAAAATTAAGTGCTTGCTTTGGCAGCACATGTACTAAAATTGAAACAATACGGAGAAGATCAGCATGGTCCTTGCGCAAGAATGACATGCAAATCTGCGAAGCGTTCCATATTTTTCTGGACATATGGTGATCCCTTCTTTAGGTATATAAATGTTAAATAACTATGGCATACACTTGAAACTAATATGGTATTGTACATTGGCTATATTTTATAAAAATCTTTAAGAGAATTAAAAATCCTCCTTTGGCTCTGAACCCTCCTCTAGCTGTTGTCCTCTCCTGGAGAAATGGTTTGGTTGTTCTCCCTCTGTTCATAGCTCCTTCTCTTTTCAGCCTTTTGTGATGGGTTTCTGTCCCTACTCCACTGGGAGTGTTGTCACCTGGGTCAATGACTTCCAAGGTTTTTTTCCCTATATAAATTCAACTTTCTGTTTATACTTAATGCTTATGTTTGAATTGTACAAGTAATACATCTCTCTCAAAAAAATAAAAAGAGAAAATTCAAACAATACTTTATAGAGTAAAAAGTTATGGTCTCTATTCATATCCACCCCACCCTCTCTATCCAAGGCCTTTTATTTCCTCAAAGGTATTTATAGGTAACAATCTGGTGTTTAGTTTTTCTATACATTTGAATATGGATAAATAGATAATATAATTACATGCTTTTTTTCTTTACTATTCATCTTATTCTCAAATTTCCTTTTACATTAATTCGTTTTTTTTTTTAATATCATTATATAGAGACCTAAATCTTCTCTTAAGATTCTCTTTCCTTTCGCTTCTACATCATTTCCGATTCTCCTACTACTTTGATAATTTCTTCTCATCCTCTTTCATGGCCCCTTGTGTTCTGTCCTTTTCTTTAATGTCGCTGCTCTGCAGGGTTCTGTCCTTGTGCCTCTTCTCTCCTCGCTTGGCACCCACTCCCAGGGCTTCCACCGCATGGATAGAATCACCCCTTCTCCATGTTTTTGCTATACTGATTACTGTGCTACATGCACCATGTACTCTGTGTTTAATAGTCACAAGAGCTCAGGAAGCAGGCGGTGCTGTCCTCATCGACTCTGAGATCTTACAGTGGTAACACAATCCGTGAAAGCCATCAGTCTAGTAACTGGCAGAGCTGGAATTCAAATCCAAGTCAGGTCTGTGCACTTAACCACCAAGACGTATTACCTCCAGTGTGGGGAGAAGCTGACAAATATGCAAATACGCATTTTTCTATCTTAAACTATCCATTTATCATATCCATTTATCATGTGCTCAGAGTTTCTCGATACTAAGTGAGTCCAAAACCAAATTCATATTTTTCTCCAAGTGGCTCTTTGTCCCCTTCTTCCTACCGAGAGAATAGTTTCCTATGTACCTGGTCACTGGAGCTAGCAGATGTCATCCTGTATCCTCTGTCCTCACTACTCACATCCAATCAGCTGCCACTTGTGGATTCATCCTTCCTTCATATGCTATCATTAGAACAGGGAGTTTTAGTCTTTACATTTTATTCCTCTTTTTAATCTCTCCTAACAGAGATACTCAAGTTTCCATTCATTGTAAAGGTGACAGCTTAGGAAAGCACAACTTGGCTTTAGAGAGAGAAGAGATTAATGGAGGTGATACACTGTTAGAACCTCACATGAATGTGATACCTGAAAAACATTGATATTATCATACCCCTGATATGAGGAATGCTGATTATCAAGACTTTTCTCGATAAAATTGAGCACGGTCCTGGAGCTAGTAGCAGTTTTTCTTCAGGTACTTGTCATATGACTTCAGTTTGAGTTTTTCTATAGTTCTTATTATGTATATTTCATTCGCATATATGTATATCTAGCATGTTATATAGAATATATATATCATACATATATCTTTCATATATGTTTCATATATATCTCATTAGTAAATATGTCTTCAATCAAAGTAACTAGGATGAGATTCTGGCCCATGTAATAATTCTTTGCTTAGCTAATATAATTTTTACCCTTTTAAAAAAATAATTCAGGTCTATGGTTTTATACTGTGCCTTTTCTCTAGACTCTTCAGGATTTTATTTGAATGTTTCCATTTCTCCTGTATGGAATAGAAGAATAGTGGTGATTTGGTTTTGATTATAAATATTATATGTGTGTGTGTGTATATATATATACATATATATATATGTATATATATATATGTGTGTGTGTATGCCTCAAACTTGCCATCTGTTGGTGCTCAATAGATGAGTTGGTTTTCATCATGTTGATTTATATGATTTAATTTTATTATTTCCCTCGGCAGTGGCCATTAAACTAAGTGAAAAACAAACCGAACAGAAATAATGAATAGATTAGGCAAAAAAATCTTAAACTTGAACATCATCTAGCAAATGGAAAATTTCATCAGATAAAACATATATTGGGAATACAGTGGAATAGAAACACCAGTGCTCTGAAAATTCTTACACTGAAGGGAAACCATGCATGCATGTTCAGTTGATTTGGCACAGTCCTGGGGTAGACATTCATTTACTAGTGAGGAGGACATAAAGGAAGCTTTGTGAGATAGAGTCAAGAGGATAGCTCGGTAAGAGTAGTAATCTAAGGACACCCAATGAGATAAGTTGAAAAACTTTAAAATTATAAGAGATGAAAACTATGTGAAGAAAAATAAACCATGCAAAATAAATCATATTAGATGACTTTTTTTCATTTGATGGTGACGTTTCACTTGAATGACTGTTTCGTGCCAGGCCCCATGTCAGGTGCTGGACCAATCTTTAACACTTTTGCTTGGATTATTGTGGAGCCTCCAATGGTCTTCCTCACTATAACCCGCAGTTTTGTCTTTTCCCATTACAGTGGCCATTGGGATCCAGATCTTGCCACACCTCTGATCACAGCTCAGCATCTTACGCAGGGTGAAAACCTGAGACTTTATATTGGTCTACAGAGCCCTTTGTGCTTTAGAATCATGTTCCCTCTTCTACCATTATTATTACTTATTTTTTATTGATAAATTTTAAACATTTATGTCTGTGCTCTAAATTTAATTGAGCTTCTGTTGATTCCGAAAGTTACAAAACAATAAGAGGCATTTACATCACAGTTATACAAATATTATGTACTAAAGTGTCAAGGTTGGTGTTTGGTTCCATGGAGAAAAAAAAAAAAGGTAATCATGTGCAATCGAGGTTTTGCTCCTTGAAGGAGAATCTTGCCTGTGTTAACTTTTCATTTCTTTCTAGCTTCCTTGACTTCATCTGGCTTGTATTCTTGCATTCCATGTTATCTTATGTCTTTGTTTTTGTTTTGTTGGTTGGAAAACCTCCTCATAATTTTTCTCCTATAGCAAATGTGGAGGTTAGTAAACTACTTTCGCTTGGAACTGGCACTTGATCAGTTGATCAGTTACCTGGGGTAGGAATTTAAAAATATTTTTCCTTCAACTTTCTATTGTGATCTAGCATTCCAGGTTATTTATTGAGAAGTATGTGTCAGCTTGATTCTCATTTTCTTTAGATAACTATGGTTTTTCTTTGGAAGCTTTTGTAATTTTTCTCTACCCTTAGAGCTCTGATATTTCATCAGGATATGTCAGGGTGTGAAATGTTTTCATTTACACTGTCTGGCATGTGGATTATCTTTTCTCTTTGAACTATGCCATGTTCAGTTCAGGGAAGATTTCTCCTATTTCTTGATTATTTCCTTCTCATCACAACCTAAGTTTCTCTCCCTTCAGGAATTCTCATAAGATAGATATTAGACCTCTTGGATTTATACTCCATATTGCTCAATTTTTCATTCATATTTTTAATCTCTTTGTATTTTTCTTTGTATCTCTCAAACCACTCAGCTTAGTTTTGGGGCATGCCTGGTTTATTGATTAGCACATTCATTGACTTGTAAAATTTTAATAATCTTTTTTTTTGTTTTTAAGGGCTCTCCTTGTTATCCAATTAATTCTTTTCCATGGAAGTCCCTTTTTGCCTTAGGGCTCTGATAAAATTCCATCTCTCTCTGAAGATAATAAATCTCTGTTGCCTGAATTAGCTTTGTTTTCTCTAGTGTCTTTCTGTTTGTTCATTTGGGGCTATATTTATTATCTGTTGCTGTTTAACCATTTGATTCACAATGCTTGAAACAGTAAATTATTTATTATCTCCCTACAGTTTCTGTGGGTCAGGAATCCATGGATGATTGAGCTGGGTGCCTCTGCTCAAAGGTCTCTCACAAGGCAAGAATCAAAATGTCAGCTAGGTCTGCAGTCTTATCAGAAGGCTAAACTGGGACAGGATCCACTTCCAAGTTCACTTACGCAGTTGTTGCCCAGATTCAGTTCCTTATCATGTTAGACTGAGACTCCAGTTCCTCGTCAGCTGTTGGCCTGAGGCCTCTGTCAGTTTCTTTCTCTGTGAACCTGGCCACAGAGCAGCTCACAACATAGTACTGGCTTCTGCCAGAGCAAACCAGTAAGACAGTAGCTAGGGATGGCAAGCAAGATGGAAGCCAGAGTCTTCCTGTAGACTAATCCTAGAAGTGCCATTCCATCACTTCTGCCATAATTCTTCATTAGAAGTGAGTTACATAGGTCCAGCTCACACTCAAGAAGAAGGGATGGCATAAGGACATAAATACGACCAGGGATTACTAAGGACCATCCTATGTGCTGCCTACTGAAAAAACTTTTTTTGGCGGGGAGGGCATTGGTTTTCTCAGGTGTCTAGTGATCTTTGTTCTAATGAAGGACCTTGTGGGTTATTACAGGTAGCTGGCTTGCGTTTACTCTGTGACTATGAATGCAAGGTCTGTATCATATACGTAGGCTTTCTTTTTGGGTAGACAGCAGGAAGGTAGGCTGGGACTCCCCTTGTATGATTCCGTACTTTTTAGTATGCATGGGTGAAATCTGTGACTTGTTACCAGCCACCAGTATATGGGATGGTCTCTCCCTTGATTTGGTTACCTTATATGACAACGGAAAAGAGATTTTGCAGATGTAATTATGGTCCTAAACCAGTTGATTCTGAATTAACTAAAAGGCAGATTTTCCCGAGTGGATCTGACTTAATCACATAAAAAGCCTGCAGAGAGGGACTGGGGCCTTCCTGAAGTCAGAGATGTTCTCCTGCCGGCC